CTGGGGCCAGTGCTCACGACCCAACCAGGCTCTAGTGCCACCTTGGCTCTGCTGGCTTCATGGGGCCAGACCCAGAATCTTTCCATCAGAGGGCCCAGCAACCATTGCGCAGGGACCCTGTCCTCTTCACTGAGTCCACACCTCTCTGTCACTCTCTGGATCTCTATCCCTCTCCTGGCCAGTGCTTTCTCAGTCTCTCTGCCTCTACTTCCCTTCTAGTCCAGCCTCTGCCCTTGCACAAACACCAGCTATTCACCAACAATGGTCTCACTTCTGTCTCGAGTCTTGACTGCTCCTCAGTGCCCTAGATCCACCCTCTCTGCCTGACTCCTTCCTGTCGATGGCCCACAGGCACCCGAAGCGTCAGATGGGCACCCTGCTTTTCTGTCACACAAAAAACCCACTGTCCATTCTGTAGCTGGTCCTTCCTCTCCCCACATCCAGTCTATCTACCAGTCCACAACAAACCTGGAGTCTGACCCTTCTTTCCATCATCTTCCTTCTACCCTAATCTGGGTCACCCATGTTCCCCACCTGGACCAGCGCCACAGCCCCTGACTGCTCACCCTGCTCCCACACCCACCTGCCCACACGACAAATCTGAGCAAGTCACTCCACTGCTTATGGCAGCTACTGTGGCTATTTGAATTTAGGTTCATTAAAGTTGAACCAAATTAAAAATTTAGTTCTTCAGTTGCAGCAGCCACATTTTAGGTGCTCAGAAGTGTAGGGACGCTAATGGCTGCTGTTCAGCACAGGATATAGAACATGCCCATCGACTGGAAAGTTTTATCAAATGATGCAGGCTTAGAACCTTCCACAGGCTTTTCTTTGCATTTAAAACCCAAACTTCTTACAAGCCTGGAAGGCGCTGCTCCGCCTAATATCACCTCTTGCCACCCACACCAGCCTCATCTCCTAACCCAGCTGTCCTTTAAGCACACCTAGAACTTTGAAGTCTCCCATCTTGCCTTTCTGTTCCTTATCCTTAGGACCAACTCAGATGTCACCTCTCCCAGCAAGCCTTCCCCAGACCTCTGCCTCCTCCTGAATCCCCGCACAGCACACACACCTCTGCTATTGCCTGGCTCTGCCTGCCTTATCCTTTCCTCCCCTACACATATGTGCCTCTCTCCCTAGGCTGTGCACTCCTCAGGGCCACAGACATGTCAGATTCCTCATTCACCAGCATTGTCTGAGCACCGACTATGTGCTGAGAACTTGGGGGTCTTGGGGAACAAGATATCTCTGCACTCTGGAGTTTAGGTCTAGCTGGGGCCAGTGAATAGGGGATTACAAAGTGTTATGTGTCTGGACCCCATGTTCTTTCTCCTTCCTCCATTCCTCAGGAGCGATGGATGATAAGAAAGCTTTGCAGGGAAGGACCAGAGACCCAGGGTGGGAGTGCTTTCACAGAAGGGGCTGAGTTTCCTTGGAGCCAGAAGAAGCTGTCCTACAGGGAGATAACCATTATCTTACTGTATTTTTGTATCCACAAAAAGCCATTTGCCAAGAGGACAGACCCTGCAAACCCAAACTACAGAGCTTCAGGGTTTGTGAACTAAGTTTGCTTATGTCTACAATATAGTGGGGCTGAGTTGGGGCCTGCAAACCAGGGAAGGAGCACCTCACTGATAGATGAATCCCCTTCCCAGGTATCATTTTCTGTCCCAGGTGGATAATGATAATGTCTCTGATGAACTACCTGGGAAAATCCCTGTCAGCAAGGGAAAAAGCAGCTATGGTTTGGGGATTCTCTCTGCTGGTGGCCAGGGAATAAGGTTCCAGAGGCTGGCTCTAGGCCTGCCTGACCCACTTGCTGGGAGACCTGAGCAGGCCATCCGAGGAAGGCAGCTAATACTGATCATGAGGTGCTGTGTGCCACACCCTATGAGATAAAGATTTATTATCCCATTTTAAAGAAAAGGTCGCTGAGGCTGCGAGCACTGCTGGGATTCTAGCCTCACTTTGACCAGCCCAAAGGCAGGGCATCAACTCCTTCTATTTCCCTACCTCAAAACAGGCTTCATTCTGGCCCAGCCTGCCTTGCAGATCATGAAAGCGCTGGTGGGAGGAGACGTGGGACCTCAGGAGGGGAGATTGCAGGAGGGTGGAGAGGCCTGCAGAGGGCAGCAGTGAGCTGTGCCTGGAACTGTCTGGAAGAAGTGCCCCAAGGGTTTACCGGGGAGGCACCCAGAGCACCAACAGTAAAAAGCAACCATGCAAGGAACACTGCATGCCATTTATCGGAGTGTGTTTTATGTTTGTCCCATCTGGGTGCTTTACACAGAGTGCTCACAGCATTTATGTATGAGGACAAAACAGGCTCAGAGAAGGGAAGAGAACTGCCCAGGTCACAAAGTCTGGAGTAAGGGAGACCTGAACTCTAGCCAGGCAGCCAGCCACTGGCCCTGGGCTCTGTTCCTCTCGATTAAACATTAGAGCATCTGCTCTGGGTGGCACTGGAACTGTGGAGAGAGCAAGGTATCCCCTCGCATCCACACAAGGACACTCAACCCTCAGAGGCAGGTATCCTTGTTCTCATTTCAATGCCCAGGAAAAAGAGGTACAAGAAGGCAGAGGCGGACAGGATTCACACTCAGTTCTCTGGTTGACAAGTCCTGTTTCTTTTCCCCCTCACCCAGCAGGCTGGTTTGGGTATTTTCATTTTGTCCCATCAAGACTCCCTACAGAGTGCTCCCTGCTATGTGTCTAAGATCTCTGGGCTTCCTCTGGATAGGAGAAAAGATTGTTTCACTGCTCGCCTGTGCTGTCCTGTCTTCCACCCAGCGCTGCGGGCCACAGCGCCGGAGGCTGGCAAACCCCTTAGAGGGAGACAAAACAGGTAAGTTCTGATTCAGGCAGTTTGGGAAAATCTACATTGACCTCTGGAGCACAGGAGAGACCGGCGGACAAACACATGGATCAAGACAGCAGGAAGGGAGATGTGCGTGTTAAGCGACCAGGGGGAAAAATTCCTATTATCTCAGTGACAATCCCCTGTGGCAGTTGTTGCTTCATCACCCATCCTAGATCCATAGAGAGGGAGGTCCATTGGCACAGAGGGACTGCTGGCACTGACGGCCCAGCCCGGCCCTTCCTTCCTCGTTAGGTGATGTGCCCGTCCGGGCTCCCCCCTGACGTTGGTGAGTGGTCCAGGACGTGGGTAAATGAGGATCCAGGTGTTCCTGTTCCAGGAGTGCAGAAGGGCCTCCGCGTTGGACGGTTGGGTTCACCGCCGGAGCCTCAGTTCCCAACCAAACGGGGGAAGGCAGTGGCTCGCTGCCGCAGCAGCCCCTCGGCTGCCCCCACCCCCTCTCCCCAGGCGCCCGCAGCGCGGCCCCTTTAAGAGGCCCGCCCGTCTCCGTCAGCCGCCGCGGCCACCGCCCCCCGGCCCTCCTCTTCCTGCGGCGCCGAGTGCGGGCCGGGCGGGAGT